TATGTTCTCAGTATCCCTGAGTCTCAGCCCCCAGCTTGGCCTGTTCTACCTCAAAGAAGGCCCCACTTTCTTCATGACAGAGGCTCTTCCTCACTTTCTTCGTGACAGAGGCTCTTCTCACCTCGCAAATCCTGTCTTGTGCCTTCAATTTCTTGATGCACATCTGTGGCTGGTAGGAAAAAAGAAAATGCCCATTCGTCATTATTTACAAGATTTAGGTTACAGTACTGCACACAGTATTTTATGATGTGAGCTCAAGTGCTGGCCACAGTGCACAGAGATACATTCTGGCCCCTGGTCTGCAGGAGACCAGTTCTCATAGATGCCACTAAGGGTCCAGGATTTGTCTTGGCCCGTGTGGCTAAGACCCTGTAGTCCTCATCCTGTCCACATACTGCCTTCTACCACGTGTAATGGCTCTGGGCTCAGAGATGGCAGACAAGTGAGTCCACTCTGCCTCAGCAGTTGTTTCTGTGCCCAGAGGTAAGGTATGGAGGAGGTGCTGCGTCAGGCACAGGGGGCCCAGTAAACACCCATGTTCTGCAGGCTGTGCCTCATTGTGCCCCTGCAGGAAGGCACTGTAGGCTGCAGTTCTGGCCTTGCCCAAGTGAGGACGGCCGCTCTAGGCTTTGTATCTGCAAGAATTACAGTGTCCCCAGTAGCTCAGGTCTCTGATTACTGAAGTCCCGTGTCTGATGGCTTCAGAAGTCAGTCCCAGGAGACCTCTGAGGCAGGCTTTAGATTTAAAAAAAAAAAAAAAAAATCAGCTGTTGGGCAGATTTTAGTTTGTGGCAACTTTGGATTTCAAAGTGGTATTTCATTAACCTCCTTTCCTTTTTAATAATGTACAGTAAAGGCCACCTCTTATTTTAGCACAGTTTAAAATGTAAGGAAATGAAGACAAAGGAAAGAAGAGAAGTAGCAGAGTAAAATGTAAATACCAAGGATGTCCTAGATGTTTTTAGGGGTCGCATTCCAAGGACTTCAGGACTCCTAAATTTATCACAAAGAATTCCCAAAAAAAACAGTCCCTTGAAAGTCACAAGTTTCCACCATGTGCAGTAGTGCACACCTATAAACCCAGCACTCCAGAGGCTGAGACAGGAGGATTACCATGAGTTCAAGGCCATACTACACTATGTAGCAGGGAGTCTAGAAGTGTGATCTGTTTTCAGAATTCACGTCATAAAGTCGTAGAGCAGGCCTGAAAGTGAACCGTGGGTTGTGCAGTGGTGTTCCTGCTTTTGTGCTTCCTGCTTGCTCATACCCACATTGGAGTGAATGAGTCCCCAGCGGCTGACGGCTGCTTAGCAGCGTCCTTCATGTAGTGTCCCAGCGTGTGCCTTCAGGCCTCCGTGTACATGTTCTTGGGGTCTCATCCAGACTGGGGGTGAACCGGACGTTCAGTCTTCTGTCTGTGCCTCTGGGCCAAGACAAGAGCCAGAGTGCATGGTACATCACCAACTTCAGTGATCTTACAGCCTTTTCATGGAGTGGGCTACTTGCCTGTCTGACTTGCCAGCAATAAAAACATCAGAGCCCAAGGGCACTCAGTTGTTGGTGTGCGTTCAGTGCCCCGGCACGTGCCGTTTTGGCTTATGTCTTCTAAATGCTTTTCTGAAAGTGGAAGGATACTGTCCCTGCCATGGCCATCCATGCCTGTCAGAAGACGCAAGTCTCAGCTTTTGTTTTCTTTGTAGGTAATGAAGTGTGTTCGTCATCAAAGACCACAAACAAGTTTGAAGGGTTGTCTCAGCAATCAAGGTGAGCCGTCCAAGCACCTTTTCCCCTGCTTGCCTCATACTTCAAAGGCTGGTTGTAGAAGTGGGCTTTCGCTGCTTCCCCCATTCTCCCCAAGCGTACCAGCCGTGGTGCAGCTTACGGTGAGAATGCAGACACTAGCTGGCAGCCCACATGTCGCCTTGCTGTGCCGCCGCAGCGCACGTCACACCAGCGTGGTCTGTGGCTGCAGAGCCTGCCTTCTCCTTCCAAGACAGCAGGCGCTGGCCTCGCTGCCCTGGAGGTCCAGGAGTGGTACACTCACCTCCAACAAAATCCTTCAGAATGAGTTTGAGTTCTTATTTTTGCTGGACTAAGTAATTTTGTTTTGTTGCTTTCCCTCTTGACCCATTTTCAGACTTGAGAATGAAAAGATGCTCCTCAGGGCAATAATGATACCCCAGAGATTTCCAAACACTTACAAAAACAAAAAAAGAGTGTGTGCTCCTAGGTTTCCTGCTTGTAAGACTTTTTCAGCTGGTCTGCAAGTAGTGTTTCTGCTCCCAAAATAAGGTACTTCGGAAAATCCTCCAAGGGCAGTTGTTGTCTGCCCCTGCCCCAAGGACACAAAGGTGATCAAAGATGAAGAAACCAACCCTGTTTTTTTCAGTGCTGCTGTCTTACTTCCTCTGCTGTAGGATAGACCCCAGTTACTGTCATCCTCAGTTTCCTAGACGAGAAAGCCGAGGCCCAAAGTGCAGCCCAGCTGATTGCCAATGAGTCCCTGAGCTTCCATCACCCCACCCCCACGTGCACATCCGTGCGCAGCAAGCTAGCACCCCCTGGCAGCGCCCTCATGCCCATCCCCCTGGGGAAGGGCCCGTTCGGTGCTGATCCAGGGCTTCTGTGTAAGCCGTTTCGGAACCTCTAAGCCGGTGGTGGTGAATGTGCGACATACGTGCCGCAGCAGGTTATCATCATCAAAAGCTCTGAAAGGCTCGCCATCACTGCTCTAGGCCTTGGTCCTGTGAAATGGCCACCTGTGACCATCGGCCATGCTCGCAGTAGGAATTGGTGGCCGGGCCTCCAATTGCATTTGCTGTTTTTCTTCCATTAGTGGCTGTGTCTCAACAGTGTTTCCTCCAGTCCCCCACGTGTGAGGGCCGCATGCGAGCTGAGGAGAGGGCTGTAAGAGCAGGCTGGCCAAGGGCCTGGCCGAAGGTGGGAGCACAGGCCTTTCATTTTTTCCTTTGACCCCCCTGTGTGTGGTTGGTTGGTTGCCCTTTTGCTTTCCTTTAATGCAGTTAGGATAGAAAGGAGAAAAAGCAGTCAGCTCCTAGGACATTAGAGGACAGGAAGGGAGGCACGAAATCATAAAAGGGATTCTCGGAAGATGCAGCTCTGGGCATTGATCACTTACTTTTTGGTGCCCAGGGCTGCCGGTGGTCTTTATAGGCTGTTGTTAAAGGGAAGTAGTGGCTTTCCCACTGATAGAGGACAAATTTGATTACTTAGACCACATAGTGCAAATTTCTATTCCAGGGACTGCTTCGCTTTTTTTCCCCTACTCATTTGCATGTCCTCCAAAAGGAGGCCACTTCCTGGGCGTGCTGGAGCCTGAGAACCCAAGCTGTCTGTGCTGGCGGAGAGGAAGTGAGAGCTCGGGCCCAACCGCGCGCAGGGCTGCATTTGCGCTTCCACCACTGAACGGCCTGGGGCCTTCTGCCAGCCAGAGACGTGTCAGCTTCCCTATCTGGGGGTGACAGGGCTGCTTTGTGAGATCACAGGACCTGGGGTCCTGCCATGCACTGTATTGTGGTTACAACTGCTGAGTATTTTCATACCTCTGGGGAAAGCTTTGGCTTCAGCATTAATAGGGATTTATTTCTCACACTTACTCTGCTTCTCCAGCAAGGCAAACTGAAATTCAAGATGTAGACTGTAATATTTTGTTGACTACATTGTGAAAGGACTGTTTTAATAATTCATAAATACCTTCGGTTTTTATGATGAGTAGATCACTGTCAACCATTGTAGCTGTTGCACACCCTAAATTGTTGTTATTTTCCACTAGCACCAGTTCTGCAAAGACTGCCCTCGGCCCAAGAGTTCTTCCTAAACTACCTCAGAAAGGTAAGGCTCTTCATTTTCTTACTCATCATGTCACTAAACTGTCACTGTGACCTCCTAGGGGATAGAGATCCCTCTGGTTCACTGATCTATTCCAAATGCTCAGAGCCACACATAGTGAATGCCCAATAAATACTTGTTAGCAAAGAACATCATTTGTAAACTAAAACCCGTAATTGGCAAATCCATGATTATACTTTTCCTTAAAAAACACCACTTTTCAGATGACACTTAATTAGGATCCCCAGGACCATTATCTCCCCTCTTGGATGCATGATCTGAGGGAACGAGTGCTGACCCTTGCACTTGCTAGGTGTGACCTCAGGCAGGTGACTTAGTAGCATCCCGTAGCTTGGATTCCTCATCTGTAAAGTGAGAAGTGATAACCTGCTTTGCAGGGTTTGTGACGAGAGTGTGAGGAAGCCCCTCACAAGTAGAAGGCCAAGGGGTCCTTCCTGTGGTGCCATGCAGCAGAGAGACAACATGCTTTGTGGAATGGAGGGAAACGGTGCCGCTAAGTGCTGCTGGGTTGCAAAACAGAAACTCAGCTTCTTCACCAAGTCTTCCTCACCCTCATCCAAGCTTAGACTTACCAAAGCAGAATTTCAATAGTGGTGCCTCATGGCGCATGCCTGTAATCCCAGCACTTGGGAAACTCAGGCAGGAGAATCTGTGAGTTCAAGGACAGCATAAACTATGGAGGAACACTTTGCCTCAAAAAAGAAGTATCAGTCTTTGTACTACAACACGCCTGACAGTGCAGAGCCATGCTGACCTTTAGAGTTGCCAAACACCTCAGAGCGCCTGCTTCAGTCTGTTCTTATGACCCTAGAGACCAGTGAGTCTCAGTCCTGTACGCGGCCCAGAGGAACTCCAGGCTGCTCTGTGGATTGCTGGCACCAGCCCCAGATTTCTAACCCAGCCCTCGAACTCTGCGGCCTACTTGAAGTAGAAGTCAGAACAGGGTTAGTGTAGGCAGGTTGATCCCCCCACCCTGCAAGCTTCCTCAGCCAAGGGGCACATCTGGAGGCGCAGTGGTGCACAGGACCAGGCCCTGTTAGGCGAGGAGGTACCCTCTGGCCGCCAACTCCTTTCCACGGAGCAGGAAGGAAGGCTTCACTGGCGTTTGCCAAGCTGTGTCTTGGGTATTTCTGGTGGTGGTGTTGACTGTTTTTCAGCTCTGCCCAGAGTGCTGTTCGGATCTCAGAGGAGTTTAACCACGTTTCCCAGGCCCTGCTCCCACATGTAAAGCCTGCCCCGAGTCACGTGTCGCGACTGTCCCTTCTCTGCTTGCCTCCCACTCATTGCCTCTAGCTCTCAGACTCTAGTGCATCCCGGTCCCACTGGGACCCACTGGGACTGCTGCCTCCTGCTCCCTGCCCTCATTCCCTTCAGGCCAGCACATTGCCAAAAGCATGCCCGCAGTCCACTCTCCTCTCCCTCCCTCTTGTGCTGTGCTCTGCTCTCTTGACCTGGCACTTGCTCTGACAGCTGGACCGGCAAGCAGAAGTCTCATTCTCCTGACCGTAGCATCACACTGTCCTCTGCTGCTGCCCAGCCTGGCCCTTCACACCCTCTTCTCAGGAGGGCTGCTCCTTGTGAGCCTGAACACGTGCCCACCCACCAGCACCTTGTGCCCTGCCTGCCTGCCTGTCTGCCTGCACACAGTGGCCCGTGACCGGGAAGGAGGAGCCTGCACCTCGCCCACCAGGGTATACTCCAACTCATGCCCTTCTTCTTGTGCCACACATTGTTCCCTCTGAACTCCCCACCACAGTGCAGGTTGCCGTCCCACCACCCCATCTTGACATGTGTCCCTCTCACCATTGCCCACTGCTCTCTGCCAGTGATGGCCAGCATTTGAGAATCTCGGTGATGATAAACAGCTGCTGCAGCACATGTGTCATAGGTTCTCCACCACTGATTACTACACCTACTTTCTTTATCTGTAAATACTTTTACAGTTTGATGTTTCCCCTAATAAACTTAAAGGGACAGGGAGATAGCTCAGCTACATAAGTGCCTGCCTCGCAAGCACCAGGTCCTGAGTTCAATCCCTGGTACAGACAAAAAATAATAAACTTCCACAAAAATCCCTACAGCACTGTGGGAGACTGAGGCAGGAGGACCCAAAGTTCAATCCCAGCCTCAACAACTAAATGAGACCCTGCCTTTAAAAACATTTTAGGGGGACTGGGTATGTAGCTAGCAAGTATGAAGGCCCTGGCTTCAATCCCTGAGATTCCATGACACAGAAAAGCGAATTACAGCCCCTCTCAGATGAGCTCATCGTCCATCTCCCAGCAGTGATTCGTTTAGGCTTGCTCATGGTTGTTATTTACCTACCTACCCCTCTCTGACCTTTCCTTAGGAGAGCCCAAAGGTCATGTCATTTTATGCATAGGTAAGTTCATTATCACATGTGAGAAGCCAAAAATTCTTTTAACGTGTTCATGATGGGATTGTAACCCTAGTATCACAAACAAAAGAATCAGTTTGTAGTTGCGAAGCTCTGAGTTCTAAGAGCTGCCTCACAGATGGAGCTCCAGGCCAGCGCACCATCACACAGCTAGCGAAAGAGAAGTAGGTGCGGCTGTGTAGCCTGGCAGCTCTCTTCTCTTCTGATGTACTGGGGCTTGAACTCGGAGCCTTTGTACTGAGCTCTATCAGCAGCCCCTTTTCTTTTGAGTCAGAATCTTACTAAGTTGTCCACCCTGGGCTCAAACTTGACCCTCCTGCTTCTGTCCACAATGCAGCGATTATAGGCTTCATTGGCGAGTCCAGTGGCCCTCTTTGCTTAAACATGTAACAAGGACTTGATGGTGAGGGCACCACTTCAATCCCTTACCTAATCCACATTGCCTCCCACGGACCTCATCTCTAAGCAGCGTAGTTTCTGTTTCACACTTAGGGTTGTATCTGAACACATAGAAGCTTGTGACACCTACTCAACCATGTGCAAACTCTACCACCCTGCACATCTCTGTCTTGTTGCAGCAACTGGAGTTACTTGTCCCACAGGTCTTGCAGTCTATGTTTTGGTCCGTATGTTTATTTGACACTGTCCCTTGGCTTTCTGTCAGTTGAGTAGACCCAAGTCTGGCTTAGGGAAAGCACTTCTTGGTGAGGCGTCCATCCTACCAGGTGTGTCTTGCTTCTCTGCATGGGAAGGCCAGCACTGCTAATGTTTGCAGCTGGGACACAGCCACCTGTGTGCTCTTAGGTCCCTCATGGGGCTGTGGTCAGCCAGCCTCAGCCTGGGCCTAGGCGGTGCATCTGCAGCTCTGTGCGCTGGTGCTTGCTGGTGCACCTTGCCTGGACACCAGGCTGTGCCTTCTCTCAGCAAGACAGTTCCTTCAGCACACCCTTCCTTCCTCATGCTCAGCCTTGAGTTGTTGGGCTGCTGCCAGCAGTGGCCTGTGCCACCTCAGATATTCTTCAGGATGCTTCCCGTAATCAGGATGGCAGGTGACTTGTATGCTTGAGGGCTTAGGACACCCAGTAAGTATAGCTCCAGCAAGGTGCTGCCAGCTTCAGTGCCTCAGAGGACCTCCCAGGTTATTCCTCCTCATGCTGCCCTCAGATTTTAGGCTGCCCGTATCAGCTCAGGTCGTAGCAGGGCCAGACTGGCCACGTTTCGCTTTTTGACTGGCCTAAGGAATGAGGCCGGGTTAGCTGGCCTCCAGCGCAATCCCAGAGCAGAGTGTCCTGGAGTGTGACTTCCTCAGAAAGAGATGTGGCTGGGCAGGCCATGACGACAGCAGCCCAGGACAGCTCAGCACAGTTCGCGGCACAGGGTAGCCCCTGTCTGGCTGCCTCTGTCTCTCGCAGTGCTGGAGATTGAGTCTAGGCCTTCACACTGAGCTACATATTAACCCCCTTTTTTATTTTGAAACTGGTCTAAACTGCCGAGGGGGAGTTTAAATTCAGTCTCCTGTCGCAGCCTCCCAGGCATTAGCATTCCAGGCATGTGTCACCATGTCCCACTTTTTTCTCTCCTCTAAAGATGTTCTTTCTGAATCTCTCGCGTTTTTAGGATAAAACCCTTACTTTGCTTCACTCTGTGCGCCTTCCTCAGTTGTTCCCTCAGTGAGCATATGCTGTGCCAGGAACCAAAGCTATGAAAATAAGAATCTTGGCCCCAACGAACCCTGTCTAATAGGAGTGATAGTATTACTCGCAGGAAACACGGCCTGCCAGTCCCTGACAGTAGTTCTTCACATATATTATGTAATCTTCAGGGCAGTTCTTTGAGGTGCTTTAAGAGATGAGGACACTGAAGTGTAGTTTGTGCAGGTCACACAGCTGTGAGCGCCTGCGCTCACGTTAGTGGCACGTTCTGCGTGGCCTAAGTGTGCTCCATAGAACCTCGCCAGCGCTTGAGGATTGGCGGCCTTGCCAGAGTGTGGAGTACTAGGCAGCTATTAAGGAGAAAGGAGGAACTTAGCGCTGCTCCTGAGCATAGTAAGTGGAGGAAAGCAAAACTTCAGACAACGGGTATTACTGCAGTGCGTGTAATCCACCTATTGCTTTTAAATGATAGATCCACAAATACGAAGGTGGGTAACAAGAAGCTTTTTGCTTATTCCCTACGTGAATCATGTAAACTAAAGGGAATTAAATGTTCCTTCAAAATTACATTTGTGGGCCAGGCACATAGCTCAGCAGACTAGAGGCCTGCTTAGGCAGATGCAGTGGCCGAGGTTCAGTCCCTCGCGTGCCTTGTCAGCCCCATCTGCGTAGTGCGTGCCTGTAATCCCAGTGCTTGGGGGGCTAAAAACAGGAGGATCCCTAGGAGTTTGATCTGTGTAGTGAAACCCTGTAGACCCTGTACTAAATACAAAAATAAAAATAAAATACAAATGTGTTAATTATTGAAACTGTCCTACCAATTTGATTTGAAACTGTCTCATTCCTATTTGTCTCTCAATAAAATTATGGAAAAAAATTAAAATAAAATAATTACATTTGTACTAATTTAATAACATGGTAAATACTCTGCTGAAACAGCACATAGAGTCAAATCTGTAGAAATTACATAGCAAAATCAAGAAGGGAAATGTATCAATATGAAAAATGGCTACACTTAGGTGAAAGGCTTTTTGAAAAGTTTTAATTGCACTTTCCAGTATTCCACAAACTGCATTATGTTTGCTTGTATTTTAAAAATCCTGGGTTGATATAGGGGTCTTGTTTTTACATAATTGAAAGCGTAAAATTGTGCACTGTTGTGTAGGCACCTCTTGGCTTCAGCCTTGACCCTTGTTAGAAACAGGCCTGCTGAGGGGCCCGGAGCCAGCCATTCTAAGTGTACGCTGGAGATGGCTTTCTTCCAAGTGGCTAGGCGCTCTCAGGTGGCTGTGACAAGAGCAAACCTGCCTCCCCCTCACATTCTGTTCCAGTGACTTCCCTTTCTGTCATTGTCCCCGCAGTGGCACTTCGGAAAACAGAAACGAGCCATCATCTTTCCCTAGACAAAGCCAACATCCCCCCCGAGGTTTTTCAGAAATCCTCCCAACTGGCAGAGTTACCACAGAAGCCACCACCTGGAGAGCTTCCCCCAAAGCCCACGGAACTGGCGTCCAGGCCCCAGATTGGAGATTTGCCACCTAAACCTGGAGAGCTTCCCCCCAAGCCACAGCTGGGCGACCTGCCACCTAAGCCCCAGCTCTCAGACTTGCCTCCCAAGCCACAGATGAAGGACCTTCCCCCCAAGCCACAGCTGGGAGACCTGCTGGCGAAGTCCCAACCTGGTGACATCTCACCCAAGACTCAGCAGCCCTCCGAGGGCACACAGAGGTCACACCCAGCGGACCTGTCCCCAAACATGCAGTCCCGAGATGCCATCCAGAAGCAGGCATCTGAAGACTCCAATGACCTCACGGCCACTCTGCCTGAGACACCTGTACCACTGCCCAGAAAGATCAACACGGTGGGTGGCCCCTGCACCAGCTCTGCAGCCCCTGTGCAAGTTGGCAGGAGGAGGGGGCTGCTCTAGCCTCAAGAAAGCATGGTGTTTGCTCCCTGAGCTGGCTGCCCTGGGGCGCTCGGGTCCAAGTGCAGTGACAGAGCCTGCTGGTTGCAAAAACAGGCTCTGGACTCCTGGGCGTCCTCCAGACCTGGCGTAGTGCCTGGTGCAACGGCACAGCCACGGCAAGCTCCAAACCTTCTTGTGCAGAGAAGGAGTTTACACAGTAATCTCCCATCGTAGAGTAACACGTGCCTGCCCTGCTCAGTTTCTCAGAGTCGGCGCAGAGATGGAAATCCTCTGGTGCCACAGTCTGGCCAGGCTGCCCAGACCCACACCTACCCTCGGCACACTGCAGGATGGAAGGGGTTCTCTCGGTATAGGAAGACCCCAGAAGCAGACAGGGAGTCACTTGAGTAAAAGCTTGCTATCTTATTGCTAATTATTTAATTAGCTGGGTGTTAAAAGTATACTTTGGAAGGTGATGTCTTTTATTTCCATCTTCCCCTTTGAAACTGGAACCCAGCCAGTAATACCCAAGTACAAACTGGTCAGAAATTACAGCTGTTTTGGGAAGAGTACAGAATCCTGCCAACCCAGGCTGATCCTGCCAGCTCTAACCAGCATGTCCTGGCCTGCTGTTTTGCATGAGAGGACTGAGAAATTTGTTTATGCTGCACATTCAGTATGCAGAAAGTGCACACTTTGCTTTACATCATGTTTCCTAAAAACATTTTTAGACTCTGCTGTCATTTCTGTGAGTTGATGTTGCCAGTAGCGGAGGGCAGGGCTCCTCATTTGCTTTCTGGCGAAAGTAACACGCCGAGGCCTCGTCTCTGCTGGGGACTCAGCTGATGCTAATGGAGGACAGGCTGTCATTCCTTGAGAGCACACAGGACCTCAGGCTCCTGGCAGGTGCTCCTAACTCTTGAGGTCAAGGCTCAGTGAAGGGACGTGCCTGAGCCACGCATCCTGTAGTGAGCACTGTGCTCTTTTGTGTGTTCAGTCTGTTTTCTCAGCTAAAACCCAATTTCTTTATTGAAGGGAAAAAATAAAGTGAGGCGTGTGAAGACCATTTATGACTGCCAGGCAGACAATGACGATGAGCTGACATTCATCGAGGGAGAAGTGATTATTGTCACAGGGGAAGAGGACCAGGAGTGGTGGGTACGTATGCATATGTGCATTTCTTCCATCCCTCACGCAGCCCTGTCCAGCTAGACGGCGCGTTGGGTCCTCAGACCCCGCAGTGAATAAGAGAGCACCCTAAAGTTTAAGGATCTTCCAGCCGTGTCACTTACCTAAGTGGCCCTGGATATTTGATCTTTTTTGTCACTGTGGCATATGCTAGGAAAATAGACTTACTGCTTTGAAAGTGGATTAGAACAAATAATAGTTCCATGTTTTTCCCATGATATCATACAAGAACCTTGTATGGTTGTAGGTGTTTTCTAACCTTTCATATGGGAAAAAAAAAAAAAAACCCTCAAGAATGCTAAGCACATTGCCCATCATTTTCCCTAGCAATCAAAAGCAGGCAAGGTCAAGATTACAAGAGCACCCTGGCACCAGGCTGGGCATCAGAAGGCCAGGGTCTCATCCAAACTAGGCTGGTGGACCAGTACACAGTCCTCAAGCTCAGTTCCGGATTCACCCTGAAGTCCTCCCTTTGCAAAGTGTGGCCACAAAACTTCCTCACCTGATTCAGAAGATGAGTTGAGAATATCTATGTAAAGCTGTTACAGTAAAGCCTCTAACCTTGGGAAAGGAAGGGCACTGCTGTCTTTCCCAGAGATGTGTTTAGAGGCCAGGGGCCTTGTGGGTACCAGGCTGGAAGAGGCCTCCAAGGGCAGCCATGTGGCCCTTGCGGCTCAGACTGGCCAGAGAGTGATTCTCCTTGGGGACTGCCAGGCCAGGGTGCAGCCTTTCTCCCTTCAGGCCTGGAGGGGAGTGCATTCAAGTTGCCTCCAGCTGAGGACAGTTCTGGCCCTCGGGGACTTCTGGCAATCTCTGGGGACTTCATCATTGTTGGGAAGGACCTGAGAGAGGCGGGTGCTGTGATCATCTAGTAGTAGAAGCCAGGGGCACACTAACATCCTGCTGTGCTCAGGGGAGCGCCTGCATCAAAGCGGCGCTGAGACCGGAGAACAGAAGACGGAGGTGACGAGGGCTGCTTTGGCTGCTGGTCAGCGTAAGCCCAAGGTGCTCAGCTGTTTCGGTCTCTGCTGGTGGAGCTGGGCTTGCCCTCAGCATGCAGTCTGTTAAAGAGCCAACTCAGGACAGCAACACGGAGTCAGACTGAAGTCCCCAGCCAGAGTCACTGCTGGCTCTGGCCTTGGAGAAGAGCATGTCCCTCCTCCAAACCTATTTTCTCTGAAAAAAATGGAACATGATTAATCTACTTCACAAGAATATCACAGGACTTATTTGGTAATCTGTTAAAGTCTCTCCCATTGGACAATGATTATAGTCTCTGCTAAGGAACTGGTAACTCGAGCAGAGACTACTGGGAGATGAAGAGTATTGATGCCTCTGGCGTCATTCTGGAGAGACACTGTGGGCTGGCAGCACGTGTTCAGCCAGACATGAAGATGTCACTACACAGCCTGACAGCCCCCAAGCCCTTGCTGCATGCTGCCTGCTGCCCGCTGCCCGCTGGGCCTGCATAAGGTCTGGGCACCGCATCCTAGCATTAACTGCACTTGCAGACAGAGCACCCAGTACAGGGGCGTTGGCTGAGAACAGCGCTGGGACGCGAGGGAGCCCTGGCGGGAGCCTGCAGCCCACCCCCAACACTGCAGGTGCACCAGGAAGGAGAAAGAGCCGGCCTGGTCTGCTTGTTCCATCCCAGCCTTCAAACCCCTCTCCGCTGCATTTGGCATTTAAAGCTAGTTTGCATGGTACTGTTACTCTTCCTGCTAAAGGCTCATGATGTGACTCTGAAGTAATCCTCATCTAATTGAGGAGAAAATTCTTCACGTTACCATGGCTTATGGGCTTATGTTAGCAGACAGAATTGCCATTGGCCATAGTCCATGTCACGCTTTCACAGGACCTTTTCCTACAGTAATCAAAAGGCATGTGATCGGTACATACAGCCTGAGAAATAGGCATTTTTAGCCCCATTTTAACAATAGCAGGATCATCAAGGTTTGTCTAAGGTTACCCACCTGGAAAGGCAACCAAGCCCCCTAGTTCAGAGCAGGGACTTTGGAACCTAAAGCCTGCAAGAGGCCTGGGCAGGTTATTCCCCCTTTCAGGCTGCTGCATAGGTATGTTGAGGTCCATGTGCTTATCGTACGATCTGTCATTTGCAACTTTGTTCTTTTATTAAGCTCCCATGAGTGTAATTTCTACTTTTTAAAAGTTAATTTCTACTTTTTAGAAATGAATTTCTATTTTTTAATGTTTAAAATTGCTTTTAAATAAACATATTCTCAGTTGATCCCGGAGCTGTCCAAGATTGACCAAAGGGTGGCGAAGGGTGAGGCGAGGCTTCACCCCCAGGTGCAAATGCAGACTTGGGCAGGCTCTTCCCCTCGGTACCTGTCCAGATCAAACCGCTGGCCTGAAACATCTCTTCTCTCTGCAGATTGGGCACATCGAAGGACAGCCTGAAAGGAAGGGGGTCTTTCCAGTGTCTTTTGTTCATATCCTGTCCGACTAGCAAGAAGCTGAAGCCTCAGACTGCCCACATCCTTCATGCAAGACTGCTGCCTCCACGTAACCCTGTGCACAATGTGTATATAGCTGCTGTTACAGAATGAGAAACCCAAGAAGGGCCACCTCAGGAGGGGAATATAGTGTGTGTTGTAAATATCCTGTGGTCTTCTGCCTTCACCAGTGGTAGGGTAACCTCGGGACCCGGTTCGCCTTACTGGTTTGCCAAAGCCATCCTTGGCTTCTAGCACTTCCATCTATCTATGCTGTCTTATAGACAAACAGAAAAACAACAAATGAGTAGAAAATGCTGGCTTTGTAAGTAGAAGTGGTCTCCAGCACCCGCTGAAGGGCATGGACTTGACTCTGTTCCTAACAATGCAGTATTCTCAATCATGTTACTGAAAATGCAACGTTAACGAAGAGGTGGGTTCTGTTCTCCAGGTGAAACTCCTAGTTAGCTCCATGACAGACCAGCCTGTAGTTACCTGTGTACACAGTTTACAGCTATAAAAACCTACTTTGGTATTTATTACAGAAAAGTGCTTAGTTAAATGTAAGTGTTACTCCTTTAGCAAAATACTCCCTGACCCAAAACTCTGTGGCATCTCTCGTGCACACGGCCTCATGCAAGTCTAGGCAAGTGGATTTATACTGTCCTTTGGTGATGAGTGCCCACCCTGAGATATTACCTCATTATGCAAAAATAACATATCCTTCATGATTATTTTGACAAAAGTTTAAAACATCTGGTGAAGTTCACCTTTCAGGAACCAAGGACTGCCAGAAGATACTAACCTGTACAATATGCATGCGTCTAGAAGCTTACCTGAGATCTGCCTTTTATAAAGGAATAAATAGTGTCAATAAGTTGAACTGTATACACTTTTTAAACTTGAGCGCCATTAAAGCAGAAATTATAAGATTGCAAGAACTTTTGTTTCTAGTCAGTCATTTGGCCTTCGCAAGAGTATGGATTTACATATCGTGTAATGAGTCAGCATCCCTTAATCGTGTCAGGGCATCTAAAGGATTGGTTTTAAATTGTTTCTTTAGTTTTGTTCTTGAAAAAACTTAAAACTTGTTTTTTCAGTACTGGGACTAGAACTCATGACTGTGCTTGCCAGGCAGGCACTGCGCTGCTGAGCTGTGTCCCCATACCTGAACTTCTAAAAGATTATGCAAGATGAGGGATTCAGAAATCAACCTTTTATAGTTTTTCTGGTGTGGAATCCAGGTGCTGAAACCAAACTTTTCTTTTCCATTCTGTTTCTTAAACCCCAACTGTAAAATAAGTTTTCCCACCCGAAGCTCTGTCCAATAGACATGGCCCCCTGGAGTCGATGCATAACCAAGTTTTGGAACGCTGCTATGAAGTGCACTGTGAAAAAGGCTCTCCCTGCGGAGTCTCTTTCCTCTCTCACGCTCGCGTGCTCTCTCCTCTCCCTCTCGCTCTCCTCTCTTTCCTCTGTTTCTGCTCTTCCGTATGCTTTCTCTCTTTGTCATTATTTTTGTTTTGTTTTCCATCCCAGCCATTCTTGTCAGACCATTAAGAACATTGTATGTGATTCAGTCTTTGGCATCAGTCTGAATCTTGGAAAAGAATACAGTGGTTGTAGTCCACGATCGGTGGGACTGTTCTTCGATTCCCAGGCGCACGTGCCGTTCTGGCGTTACATTTACTTCAACTGCTGTTTTGGCAACAGGACAGGAGGCTAATATTTTTATGCAGATAATCTTGGCAATGAATGAGAAATGTTACTTTCACAGAAGCACAACTCTGAACCAGAACTGTAGGAAAGGCCTGCCTCATAGTCACAGTGCTCAGTACACATTAACTTGGTGTTGTTTAACTGGTTGCTTGGAGCACTTTGGGTAGCCACCTGAAAAATAAACCTTGCATGCCAGACCTGCAAAAATATTTTATCAGCTGTTAATGGAAACTAGTTTAAGCAACTGCTTCCTCAGCATCCGGTCTCGTGTCCATCCTCACCCGAAGCGCGGAGCAGGAGGCGCCGCGCCCGAGCTGGTGCCCACTGGTGTCAGGACAGGAGGCCAGTGCTGAGGTTGCGCAGTCCGCCGCTGCGTTCATTTGCACACTTTCAGTTGTGTGAAAGAGCCGTTCTTTCTTGTGGCCTACACTATTTTCAGTGATTCGAAAATAAACCGGTTTATAAAAAACACACACAAAAGCTGTATCGCTAAAGTTGCGTGGAGTCGGTGTCTAGTCTCTGCCGTGTCACAGCACGTCACACAATGCATTTCCCATGCCTTTTTCTGGTTGTGTTTTTGTTTCCATAAGGAAGTTGAGTCGTCTAATCCAGTTTACTGTAGGACGTAGGAAAACTAGCAACACCATTGCCAATCTTGTGTTTAAATCCAATCTTAAACTCATGAGCCACTATCTGCAATTTTGTACATGGTATAGTATTTTGAAGTTATGGAACCTTACAAAAAAAATAGCAAATTAGTTCTTTCCCACAGATGGGAAAGTTATGTTCTGCAAATAGCGTGTCTTATTTTACTGTTGAACAGCAATTGCTATTTATTTTTTTATTGCCTAGAACTCCACCGTGTTGTGTAGGAATCTCATAGTGCCACTAGTCAAGTCCCGAATTTTCCTCCGGATGTTGCCAAGAAACATCAGTGTACTTTTCATTTCACATGTATTTAACGTGACAGTTTTTCAGTAATGTATATGTTAATTTCTACTTTTTTTAATATTTAAAATTGCTTTTAAATAAACATATTCTCAGTTGATCCCAAGCATCGGAAATCAGCCATTTTGTGAGTTATCTGCTACTCTTGTGAATGGGGAAGTCAGGGCGCCACCGGCTCTACCCTGGGGTTGTCCACTACAGGTCACCCTGGCTCCAGTGTCAGAGTTCACCCTGAACAGGGAGAAAGTCCCAGCCTTCCCAGTTTTCATGTGATGGCCTGGGCCTGCCCACAGCATCACGTGACAGTGTCCATGTGCAGGGCTGAGACTCACATGGTCTGGGCTCCAGACACCCAGCCTACATCTCCTTGGCCCATGACAGCCCCCAGAAGGTGCCTTCACTTCACAAGCCTGGAAATGAAGCTCGGAAAGAGTTGGCCACGTGCAGAAAATTCCCAGCTCAGAACTCTTGCGTCAAGTGTCTGCTTATGTATTTCCGGTTCCTAGCTGTGGAGCCTCCACTCTATGGAAAACAGACTTGGCTGTGGACACTGCAGTGAGCCGCGCCATCCGAGACCGACACATTGCTCTCCACTTCATGACTGGTTTCCCTCCTGAAAGCCGGTCCATTCAGTGTCTCCACGAAGCCAGGCAAGGTGTCACCAACGGATGCTGTACGGCCAGGAAGAAGGCCCCTGTCATGGGAGCAGGCAGCTGTGTCTCAGGATAGTTCAGGGAGACACCAGCCTGGTGACATAAAGAATCCAGGCACAGGGGCCGGCGGCTTCCCATCTTTTTACAAATGTTGGTTATGTGTAGTTTTGAAGACCTTCGCCCCAGGGGCTCCTCAGGCCTGGCTGGTCTCCACAGAGAGTCTGCAAGCTGGGTGGGCTTAGGGCCCCGCCCCAGAACATGGAATGCTGAGTGTAGCCAGCCTTTAGTCCTCTGTGCAGTCTGCTGCCTCCTGTAAACCAGGCGTGATCACAGGTACGCTACTGGATGAGAAGTCTGCAGAGCTGGGGTGACCTGCCAGAGGCCACTTGGGATGGACAACAGTGTGAGCCTCCCTCCATATTCCCCTAAGCCTGTCCCACTTTCTGCAGTGAGGAGGGGCAGGCTAATTTGACCTTCTCCACTTTGCACATTCTCTTTAGACTCTTCTCCCTTCCTCAGTCCAACTCCTTTATTTCCCTGGGTTTTAAGTTTGCACGTTGTGCTGATAGGGCAGCTGCTACAATAGGCAGGCCGATGAGCAGGCCTGGAATAGAGAAGAAGGTCGCAGCCCGTCACCTTCCACCTCAGCACCCAAGGCTCACTGCGATGACCCTGTGGCACAGTGACACCAGGCCTGTGATTGCAAAGTCGTGCCCCGAGTTCTGTCCTGGAAGCGGGTGTGAGCGATGATGGCCGTGGGAATCAGCTGACAGGAGCCTGCAGAGAGGCCAGCGGTTCACCTCCCACAGTGAAGTTCCCCGCAGCCCCTGAATGAGGGGGTGGCACCTCTGTGACAGCTGGAAAGAGGGAGAAGACAGCAGCTGAAGCAGGATCACCCAGACGGCCATGTGCAGTGACGGAGAGCAGGGTCTCCGCCTCCCCGAGGACCAGGTCGCACTCCAGTGGCTGCTGTGCTGTCTTGGCCTGGCCAGCCCTGCACTGAGAGCTGCATCGTGGGTCATGTTCTCAGCAGCACAATGGAGGGAGCTGTGGTGTTCCCTTCTGTAGATGCGGAGACTCAGGGGAGTGATGCTGCAAGAGTTTCAGTCTTGACTTGGCCAAAGTCACCCACTCATGATGGTGGAGGCCAGCTCAGACCCATGACCGCGGCTCTACGCAGTCCCTGTGTATGGCCACCCACCGCCATCACCACCCTAGATGAACCGCAGGCCTTCGCACTAACCTGCATCCCCTCCTCCTTCATTTCTGATTTTGAGACAAGATCTCACTAAGTTGCTCAGGTTGCTCTTGAACTTCTGATCCTCTGTCTTCACCTCCAAGAATGCTGGGAGCCCAGGCATGCATCACTATGCCTTGCTCCTTTGCTGCCCCATTTGAAGAGAGACTAAGTCAAAGCTGGCCTGCCCCTGTACGCTACCCATAGGTCAGCTGCCAAGACAGCATAAACCATGATATGACGTTTCTGGTCAGAAATGACAAAACCTACTAGCAGGGCTACGGGAGCATTTCTTGGTCAGCACACTTGGGAACACGCAGATGCTGTCCGAGTGCCTTGGAATGTGACTGAGAAGACAGTCGGACAGCTTAAGTCTATCGTGAGCCCAGTGCCCAAAAGCATACTGAACCGTGTGTGTTCCTGGAAGAGGAGTTGCAGCTCAGACAAACAGCTGTTCTGCAAACGTCTTTGCACACAGCAGTTCTAGCTGAAGCTCAGGATGCCAAAACTGTGACCTTCAGAACTACCAGGAAAAAGCCTTCAGCTTCACACTTCATCAGGGAGATTGAAACTTGGCTTTGTAGTTCCAGGTAGATTTGAGAGACATAACACTGGCCTGAAAATACAGTGGGCCTAGGTTTTCAGATTTGGGCCAGCATCCTCGGGCTCCTCAGTATTAAAACCAGATTTACTGAACCAAGCATGGTGTCATGTGCCTATAATTCCAGCTCTCTAGGAGGCTGAGGCAGGGGGATGCATATTCAAGCCTATGTAACCCAGCACTTAGGCAGAGGGATTAAGTTTTAGGCCAGTCTTCACTATACACCAATACTGTTTGAAAAAACTGAAAAAAAATCAGAATTTAAGCCCAGTTGGCAGTTTGAAAAATTAGCAAGACTATATCTCAAAACAACTGTTTTAAAGGGACTGGAATGCATTCCCTTTAGCTCAGTGCAGAAGACCCTGGGTTCCATTCCCAGCAACGAAAGGGGGGCGGGGTGTCATCTCAAAAATAAGGAGTTTCCTCCCCTCACCTTGTGAAAAGTAACAAATTAGAGAAATGAACCTGCTGAATGCTTGACTTGGAGTCAGTGACCACTCGCGTCCCTTGACTGAGTGCAGAAGCCCACACCTGCCTCAGTAGCTAGAGGGCGCCTAGGAGCGTGCAGAGAGCTCAACGGCATCTCCTTTGGTGTGCTGCTGCCACCAGGTGCATGAGGTGCCCCACGTTCCCCACCAGCCGGGGAACCTGACAATCCCTGGAGACAAAGCCACAGGCAAGGACTGCCACACCCTTGGCCCCAGGTTTTCTGCTGCACATGTGTTACTTGCCATCATGGGTTGGATGAATTTGCTAGGGCAGCTCACAGAAGAAAGGCGGGCACATTTAGGGGGGGATTGCAAAGGAGATGACAACAGGTCTGAGAAAAGGCAGAGGGTGAGACAGGAGGGGAACGCAGGAGCCTGCCTTCTGGACCCCCTACAGAAGCAGCTTATGCAGAACACCCCAAAACCTGTCACTTGAGGGTTTTGGGGGGCACTTCATTAAGTAGGTGTGATTGACTCATCAGCAACCTCTAGTGATCAGTTGAACCCCAGGCCCTCCACACTGCTGGGGGTTAGAAATGGAGCGGAAACTCCCACCCTCTTACCCACTTTCCTCTTTCCAGTAGCCACCCACCTCCTGAGCCAGCACTCATCTGCATACAGAAAGACACTTGTCACTTAAGCCACGCCAAGGATTGTAGATGTGCCAAGAAAGAGGAGGAAAACCAGGTGCCACACGGTCACCAGACCTCACAGCACCTCTAGTCGAAGGGGCTCACAGCTGGTCTAAGTGTGGAGAGCGCCCACCCCAGTGAGGGCCGAAGCGTGGAGCCCGCATCACAGGTTCTACCCACTCCTACTGGGTCATGCTGACGGCATCAGGCAAACTGGCTGCTTGACAGTGGGTCTTGCTATGGCGAGTTAAGGTGCAGAACAAAGACCCGCAGGAATACACTGTGCAAACTTAGTTCTTGCTCAGCTGGAACCACTTAAAAACTCAAGCATGGTTCATGCCTGTAACCCCAGCCAATCTGACAGAGGCAGGAAGATCGTGGATTCGATGCCAACATGGACAACCCAACTAAGTACAAATCTGGGGCAACCCACTCTCCAGGCCTTCTGTCTCAGACAAACATTTTCTTTCTCTCAATGAATTCTTCTTACTCTTATCCTCTGTTGTTCTTAAAATTCATGCCTCGATTTTAGAGAATGCAAACTCAGCATTTCAGACATCCAGCACCTTGGGAGTTATATTTAGCTTATTTTATTTGGGGGGACTTCCACCAAGATAATTGGACAGAGGTAAGAGTTTGCTTTGGTTTCATAGATCCTGGATTGTGCCTCGATTAGGTAAAAACAACAAATCTCAGACACCCAGAGTCACCTGGTGGCTTGGATGCAGCCGTTCATCAACACTTTATCCAGCACAGTAAGTGGCTGTGCCACCCAGAAGTTTGGAGATGCAGACACACCTTCCCTAGCTAGCCCTTTTGGCCTAGCAGCCTCACTCTCGTCTGCCAAAACAGAAGATGGCAGGTGGTAACCCAGCTTAGAGGGAAAAGAGTCAACAGGTGGGGCATAGGCAGCAGTGAGGAGGGAAAAAAGTGAAATCAGCTAGAAATCTAGCCATCAAAGCTGAAGGTATGGATGCCCCAAACCCACAAATCCCTTGATGAAAGCGCATGCGTGTGTTGACCAAAGTCATGAAAGTCAGTGACAGACCTGTTTATGATCATCTAAACGCTACCCGCAGTCCTCCAACAGTGACGTGTGTATAAACTGGCGAACAGACGTGGCATGTCCGGTAGGAAGAGTGAACATTCTACAGCCATGCACTACAACCTAGCTGAGTCTCACGCTGAACCTGAGAAGCTAGGCTCAGAATAATCCACTCTTTTATTCCACTTAATTAAAAAAATAGGCAATCTCTGCAGGAACATGTCTACGTGGTATAACCAATTCACCACTAGCAGAGGTCCTGGCCGGGGGGCCGGGGCATGGAGCAGACCTTGTGCTGTTTCTCTAAGCGCTGGGCACAGGCTCCTCACTTCTATCTAGGGTTAGGGTTAGGGTTAGGGTTGCTTTTGTGGTGCTGGACAAGAAACCCAGGGCCTCACTGGTGCTCAGCATGGGCTCTGCCACTGAGTCACTCCCCAGCCTCTGATGTTTT